AACTTAATTTAAAGCTCATCTTTAAAAAAAAAAAAAAATCAATTTTTAAAAGTTTTTATTGAAATGTACTTTACATATCAGAAAATTTACCCATTTTAAGTATACTGTTGAGTGATTTTTATCAAGTTTACTGGGTTGTGCTTATCATAACACATTCATCTGTTCAGTAAGATCCATAATACTCATTTAAATTTAATCTCTGTTCCCATTCCCATTTCATATAAATAAAATCCTATAGTATATGGTCTTTTGTGTCTGGCTTCTTTTGGTTACAATAATGTTTTGTAGCATGCATCATGCATTCCTTTTTATAGTGTTTTATTGTACGGATATGCCATATTTTGTCGATGGACATTTGAGTTGTTTCCATTTAGCTATTATGAATAACGCTGCTATGAACATTTAAGTGCAAGTCTTTGTGTGGTCATGTTTCCATTTCTTTCGGGCAGATACCTATGAGTGGAATTGCTGGGTTATATGGTAAATTTACATTTAACTTTTTTTTTTTTTGAGTGGGGGATGGGCTAAGGGAGAGGGAGAATCTTAAGCAGACTCCACACCTGGTGTGGAGCTCAAACTCACAACTGTGAGATCATGACCTAAGCAAAAATCAGAGTTAGACACTCAACTAACTGAGCTACCCGGGCTCCTCACATTTAACTTTTTAAGAAGCATCCAACATATTTTCCAAAGGAGCTACATCAAAGGGCAGTTTTAATGCTCTAATTTCCAACCTGTTGGGGTATCCATCATGCTAGAGCCCCATGACTGGTAATAAAAGGAATAAAAATGACCCATAATCATCCTTCTGAGCACTTTACTGATACATATAAAAGTATTATTTTATGTATAATATTTTATAAATATAAGTGTATAAAATTTTATTTCATTCATAACAGAAAATATGTGTTTATATATGTATACCTGTATTTTGTGTTGAAAACTATATATTTATATACATATATATGAAAATTATATATGAGAAGATTTTATATATATGTATATACATATACATACTTGAGATCACATTATATTAATAATTGAGCTTTTTTAAACTATAATGGAATTTATGATCATTTATCTGTTACTAAATATGAAGTTTGATTTTTAATATCTTCATAATATCCATATGGATATGCCATAATTTTTAAATCCATTGTCCTAGTTTTTATTTTTTTTAATTTTTTTTTATTTTTTTTAATTTTGAGAGAGACAGAGACAGCGTGAGCAGGGGAGGGGCATAGAGAGGGGGAGAGAGAGAATCCCAAGCAGGCTTTGCACTGTCAGCACAGAGCCTGATATGGGGCTCAAACCCACAAGATCATGACCTGAACCAAAACCAAACATTGAGAGTTGGAAGCTTAACTGACTGAGCCACCCAGGCGCCCCTCCATTGTCCTATTTTTTAACTTTTGGATTGTGTTTTTACTTCTAAATCATAATTTAAATATGTTATACTTTCAATTTCAGATTAAACTTTTAGCTGGTCCCATTCTCATGCTTTTCTTTAATATTTTATCCCTGTGACTTCTCATGGACATATGTTTGTTCACCCTTCACCAGGTTTTCCCTCTCTGTTGTCTCTTATGGTCCCTTCACCAGAGGAGTGATTTAGAAAGCAAATTCCTGTTGAAAATGTATTTGTTGCTAATAATATCAAAGCTGATGATCAATTAAATTATAATAAAGAAACAATAATAAGCAGGATGGTAGTTTAATGAGTATAGATAGATTGGCTGAAAGATTTTACCCTACAGTAGGGTTTTATATATACTTCATCAGAGGATTGTGAAAAGGAGGTCACTTTTTAAGATTCTCATAGAAAATTTGGACATTTTAAGAATGGTATCTTAATTTAAAATACTAATGACAGTATAATTCCTTCAGTGGCCTTCTCCCACATTGCAATCTGTAAGCCATTCTCCTGACAAGGCTTGCTACTTTAAGAATAAATCGTAAGTGCAGGTCTGATCGTGTGGCTGTTCAGTTCTCTCTACAGGGTCATTCAAGGCTCATCATAGTCTCCCACTCTACTGCACAAAACTTACCCAAACTGAGAAATTGTTCAGTAAGAAGAGACTTAACCCCTCAACTTTTTTTTTCTTTTTGGGACATTTTATTGAGGTGTAATAATTCAAAACCCCCAAATTTCACCCTTTTAAACTATATACTTTAGTGGTTTTAAGTACATTCATTGATAGAGTTGTGCAGCCATCATCACTATCTAAATTGAGAACATTTTCACTTTCATCATTCTGAAAAGAAAATCTGGTCACTCCTTGTTCCCCTCTCCCCTGGATCCTGACAACCACTAATCTGCTCTCTGTCTCTACCGATGTCTCTGTGACCTTTTATATCTGGCTTCTTCACTTAGTATGTTATCAAGGTTCATACACGTTGTAGCATGTACCAGTACTTCATCAGTTTTCTAGGTCAAATAATATTTAATTAGATGGTTACATTATCTTTTTAAAAAAAATTTTTTTAAATGTTTGTTTTTTTTTGTGAGAGACAGAGACGGAATGCGAGTGGGTTAGGGGCAGAGAGAGAGGGAGACACAGAATCCAAAGCAGGCTCCAGGCTCCAAGCTGTCAGCACAGAGCCCAATGTGGGGCTCGAACTCATAAGCTGTGAGATCATGACCTGAGCCAAGTCAGATGCTCAACTGACTGAGCCACCCAGGAGCCCCATTACATTTTTTTAAATCCATTCATCATTTGGTGAAATTACTTTTTGACTATTTGTATAATGCTTCCATGAGTATTTATATACAAGATTTTGGTTGGCATATACTTTGGAAGTTTTGCATATAGCACAGGTTGAGTGGATACTTGTCATTTGGGAAAATAGCAAATTTATATAGTAGAGAATGAGTACAACTGGAATTAGGTTAAATGTTTCAAAAAGATAACTTGCCTCTGACTTACTTTTTTCTTCTGAAAAAAAATTTATTCCCTTGAAACCTTTCTATAGCAGTGTGCACAAGGTAAGAATTAGTAACTCCTCGAAGTAACTGCTCAAAAATCTTCTAGAAAAGAAACAATGTCAACTACAAAAATATAAAGAGAAAAATTCTTAGAATCAGGAAAGAAGTGTTGTGGCAAGATTATTGATCTGTTAAAACTGGGTTGGACCTATTACTATGTTTTTGTTCACTCAAGATACACTGCTTTTTTTCCCTCTTGCTGCAGTTGACCAGAGCTAGAAAGGGCAGAGGGCAGTGAGGAGACAACTCACCTCTCTGAGAGTGACCAGCTGACTGCATTCAGAATTAACACACAGGACCAAGTAACTCTCTGATGACTATAATGCTGACCGTGAAGTACATGAGGGATTTTTACCCACCAAATTTTCTTTTTTTTTTTTTTTTTTAAATTTTTTTTTCAACTTTTTTTTTATTTTTGGGACAGAGAGAGACAGAGCATGAATGGGGGAGGAGCAGAGAGAGAGGGAGACACAGAATCGGAAACAGGCTCCAGGCTCTGAGCCAGCAGCCCAGAGCCCGACACGGGGCTCGAACTCATGGACCGTGAGATCGTGACCTGGCTGAAGTCGGACGCTTAACCGACTGCGCCACCCAGGCGCCCCGACCCACCAAATTTTCGAGTCAAACACTATAGTCAGAAGATGAAAACTACTAAACAGTATATGGATATAAAACTTGAGCCTGAGCAAAAATTTTCACCATTCGCCTCATCTTCTAGATATCTACAGCAGTTTTCCTTGCTCTCACATTTGAACATCAAAATAAACTAGAACACTTTTAATACACATGGTCCCTCCACAGACTTTCTATTCAGTAGATTCCTAACAAATTTCCAGGCAATTCTAATGCTGTTGTTATAGGGAGCGTACTGCTCTAAAATTGTCCTGCTAATCTCAACTCAAGCCCATAAAATTCCCTTTTACCACAGTGTTGCTCTTATTTGGCTGTGTGGGTAGCAGTCTGATTAAACAAGTCTCTTTGAAAGCTGACTGAGTTTGCTTACTTTTGTATTCACAGTCTCTAGAACAATGAGCTTTTGTCTAGGTGCTTTTGTCTTTTAAATGAATGTATGGAACTAATTTATATTAAGTTATCAGTGCTCTATAGAAGCTTATTATTATATATATTATTATTATTATTATTATTAGAAGCTTATAATTCTGGGATATTTAAATTTTAAAGGCAGATCAACATAAATTGAATTAATCTTCAAATTATAAGAATATCACTAAACAAATGACACAGTGTAATTTTTTAAATGTATAGAAGATTTGGGGTACCTGGAGGGCTTAGTTGGTTGAGTGTCTGACTCTTGATTTCAGCTCAGGTCATGATTCCAGGGTCCTGGATTGAATCAAGTTTCGGGCTCCACACTAAGTGTGGGACCTTCTTAAGATTCTCCCTCCCTCCCTCTCTCTCTCTCTCTCTGCTCCTCTCTCCTGCTTGTGCTCTATCTCTCTCTCTCTCTCTCTTTCTCTCTCTCTCTCTCCCTCTCTCTCAAAAAAAAAAAAAATGTATAGAAGATTTGAGAGACACTTTACCAGAAACGATATTTGGACAGCAAATAAGCATATGAAAAGATACTCAACATTAGTTAGCTGAGAATTGCTTTAGAGCCAGGATGAGATTTCGCCACACATCTATAAGATGTTACAAAGAAACAAACAGCTACAAACAAAGAAATGAACAAAAAACCTTGACAATATCAAGTGCTGACAAGGATGTGAAACAACTGGAACTCTCACATGTTCCTAGCAGAAATGCACATGTTACAGTCACTTTGGAAAATAGTTCGGTAGTTTCTCATAAAGTTAAACTTACTATATAACCCAGCAATTCTGTTCCTAGGTATTTACATAAGTGAAACAAAATCTGTGTTTTCAAAAATACATTACACAAAGTTTTATACCAGTTTTATTCATAGTCCTCAAAACTAGAAATAATCCAAATGCCCCTCAACTGCCAAATGGATTAACAATCTATGGAACATCGAGAGGTGAGGAAGCCAGGAATAGAGGAGAAAGCTGTTTCTCGCTAGCCTTGGGTCTCACGCGCCATGGCGGCCTCTGTCCAGCAGCCTCCTCGGTCTAACAGTGGAAAGCGCAAAGGGAAAGCTCAGTATGTGCAGGCCAAGCGGGCGCGGCGCTGCGACCGCGGTGGGCCACCGCAGCTGGAACCCGGGCTACAGGGCATTCTCATTACCTGCAACATGAACCAGCACAAGTGCGTGGAGGAGGCCTACAGTCTGCTCAATGAATACGGCTACGACGTGTACCGGCCGGAAAAGTTTACAAAGATCAGCAGCCCTCTGGAAGTGAGGCAGAAGATGATGATGTGGAGGCTGCCTTGAAGAAAGAAGTTGGTGACATTAAAGCATCTACGGAGATGAAGCTAAGAAGATTCCAATCAGTGGAGAGTGGAACAAATAACGTAGTCTTCATCAGGACACTTGGGATAGAACCTGAGAAATTGGTACATCATATTCTTCAGGATATGTATAAAACCAAGAAGAAGAAGACTCAGGTTATTCTATGAATGTTACCTATTTCGGGCACATGCAAAGCTTTCTTAGAAGACATGAAAAAATATGCAGAAACATTTTTGGAACCCTGGTTTAAAGCTCCAAACAAAGGGACATTTCAGATTGTATATAAATCTCGAAATAACATCAACATGAATAGAGAAGAAGTTCTCAAAGAATTGGCAGGAATAGTAGGCAGCCTGCCAATTCGGAAAATAAAGCGGATCTTACCAATCCACAGTACACAGTGGTAGTAGAAATCATTAAAGCTGTCTGTTGCCTGGAAAAAAAAAAAAAAACAATGTATGGAACATCTATGCAATGGAATATTACTTATCAGTAAAAAAAGAGTGGACTAAACGCTGACGAATTTCAAGTGCATTATGCTGAGTGAAAGAAGATTTGAAGGGATACACATTGTACTATTGCATTTTATATGACATTATAGAAGAAGACAAATTAATAGGGACAGAGAATAATCAGCTATCGGCAGGATTTAAGAGTTAGGGTGGGTGATAATAATGGGATAGCATGAGATAATTTATGGGGGGAGGATGGAAGTGCTTTTATCTTGATTGTTATACTGGCTATACAACTGTGTGGATTTGTTAAAACTCAGAACTGTACACCACAAAGAGGGCCTTTTATTATATATAAATTGAAAGTAATTATTTTTTTTAAAAAAAGTGTCACTAAAGATCTTTTTTGAGAGAAATGGGGTGTGAAGCTTGAAATTTCACGGATTAGAGAACAGGTGACCTGGGTTAGGTATGGCTCTCTGACCAAGTAGGTGCAGTGAATGGTATGCCGCCAGCAGCAAGAGCTAGTGAATAGTGACTTAACTTTTTAGGGCATCAAGGAGAGCCCACAAGTACCAGGAAGAGACGTGGCTAATAAAAGAAATGATCTCTCAGAATAGAAGTGAGGTCATAGTGTAGCTACTTTAATTGTGAATTGTTTGAGGAGAAAGGGGCCAATAGCAGATTGCTTCTTGTGGAAAAGATAAGGAAGGGAAAAATTACATAAAAAGTAGGATGAAAATGTTCTTCCTTGAATGGTTATCCCCAGAAGCATTATATTCCAAAGAGAATACACTCAGTGGTCCTCACTGAAAATACAATAGCAACCTCCTTATAGAGTGCTTATTCTATGGAGGAAACTTTCTAGGGGTTTAGCTAAGGTACGGTACAAGGGAATCAGAAAGGCCTAGAGGAATATCAACTCTGTCTTTTACAAGCCTAGAGTTCTTGTGAAAACCACTATAATTTTTTTTTTATTTTAAGTTTCTCCATCTATAAAACAGGGTTAACAATAGCACATGTGTTTTGAGTATTGAGAAAATTAAATGAGATAATGCATGTATAGCATTGAGCACAATGTCTGGAAGCACTCATTAAGAAGCACTCAATAATTTGCAGTAAGCATCACATTGATGCCTCATTTTAGGAGCATGCATATACTTACTTTTTTCAAGTTCATACTTGTATTTAATATTTTTTTGGTCAGCCTCTCATCAACAGGAGATTCTCAAGCCTAAGAAGCATCATCTTACTGCCTAGAGTGGAGAGAGAGAGAGAGAGAGAGAGAGAGAGAGAAAGGGAATTTGAGGAGAGACATCTTATTCCCAGAAACATAAAATCGATTATACTCAATACAAAGAACCTTCAAAAGCAAGCTGTGACTTCCTTGCTCCAGAACTGGTTAACCTGTTGGGATATTTGGTAGATGAATGCTATACCACGCTCTTTCCTTTACTATGCACTAGACTGAAAGGCAGCAGCTGCTCGTGGTGCCCTTCTTCCAACATAGAAAACCAATCTCCCAGCACCAGGGGAGACATTAAAAAGGGAAAAAATGCAAATGCCCAACACTGATTAGTTTTGCCAGCTGCTCTTCTTGCTCCAGAATCAATGGATTGGCCACTTTAGCTGCAAAGTCCATTGGACAGACTCGGGTTTTGTTTTTGTTTTTGTTTTTAAGAAATGGTATTAAAAATAAATAATCTTTTCTAGGTCAAACCTGTCAAAAAAGTTGACAAATGGATAGAGGGTTTAAATAAAGAGGATAGATAATATGTCTATATTGGACTTTACTGAAAATATTTTTGAGTCTGGTTATTTTAAACATAGGATTGCAAACTCAAATGCTTTGAGAATCCAGTCTAGTTATGTAAATGAGTAAGGAAGCATCTGGGTGTGAGGCAACAGGGAGTGAGTGGTGAGTATGGGTCTACTTCTTTTGTTTTCCTACTATTAGGAGACACTTGGATACAAAAACACTTCATTTTTGGGGCGCCTGGGTGGCGCAGTCGGTTAAGCGTCTGACTTCAACCAGGTCACGATCTCGCGGTCTGTGAGTTCGAGCCCCGCGTCAGGCTCTGGGCTGATGGCTCAGAGCCTGGAGCCTGTTTCCGATTCTGTGTCTCCCTCTCTCTCTGCCCCTCCCCCGTTCATGCTCTGTCTCTCTCTGTCCCAAAAATAAATAAACGTTGACAAAAACACTTCATTTTTTTCTCAACTCTGCTACAGAGGGAAAAATAAAGAATGTATGATAATAAATGACAACTGATGCAACCTCAAAGATGTAGGACAATCTTGGTTCCCATCTTGGTCATATGGTGGACTGGAGAAGTGCATGCCATACCTGAATTCAACAGCTTTTATTCCGCTCCAGCTAACTACTATTGGACAAGCAGTGAGTCCAGTATTGCTGAGTATTTAGTTATTCAAGAGACACCCAACATCTTGATTTTGATGTGATTTCTCTAAATCACATCACAATTCTGACCATTCTAATTCTGAAAAGTCATTCCATTTGGAAAAATAATCATGCGGATCAAACACAACATGTCTTTATATTAGTTTTAGCCAGTGGCTATCAATCTGGACCTCTGCTTTGGACTTCAATTTGACAACTGCTGTGGAGTAGAGTACAACTTTTTGGTAGATGGTAATAAATGATAGAAACAATGCACATTATGTTATAAGTAATCTCTTGCTGATCTTTAAAAGGATTGTGAATTAAAATGGTATTGTAGGGGCGCCTGGGTGGCGCAGTCGGGTAAGCGTCCGACTTCAGCCAGGTCACGATCTCGCGGTCCGTGAGTTCGAGCCCCGCGTCGGGCTCTGGGCTGATGGCTCAGAGCCTGGAGCCTGTTTCCGATTCTGTGTCTCCCTCTCTCTCTGCCCCTCGCCCGTTCATGCTCTATCTCTCTCTGTCCCAAAAATAAATAAACGTTGAAAAAAAATTTTAAAAAATGGTATTGTAAAGTATGAAGTTATTAAAGCATTATTCTAAAAGCAAAAGATGGGAAATAGACTAGATATCCACTAATAAGGAATGATTATAAAAATTATATTACATCCAAACAATACTAGGTATCTATTAAAAATAAGGGAACTCTATAGTACTAATATGGAACACATGCTAAGATACATCATTAAGTAAAAGAAAAAAAAGAAAAGAAAAAAAGAAAAAAAAGCACAGAAAATGGTGTAAAGCATGCTACTGTTTTATTATTTAAAGTGTGATATACATATAATATATATGTATAGTATAATACATATGTATAATATGTATAATATATGTACAACACAAGATGTATGATATATATACACACACAAACTAAAATATAGAATGATATGTAAAATATAATCTCTGGAAGAACATGAAAGGAAAAGATAACAGTGGTGGCTCCCTCTGGGAAAGAGATGGCGCCTGGGGAACTAAGGACAGGGATAGGGGCAGACTTACTTTTTTTTTCATGTATATTTGGCAACATATGATTTTTTTTTACCACATGTGTATATTCCCCATTCAAAATAAATGTAATTAAAACAAAAACAACTTCTAATCCACAGGAAATAACCTCTTCTAAAAAGGTAGTGACAGGGTAGGGATGGGTTGCCATAACATAGAGAAGATGGACATTTTTTTAGGAAATGACATGGCTAGTATGTGCTTCATCATCTTTCTACCATCTGCTCCTGAGGGACAATTATATTGGCTTCAATGGATGGTCACAGACTCCAATATGAAATAGGACACAGTCCCAGAAGTTATTAATTTTTATTATCAAACTCACAGGATCCTACACACAAAGGACCAAGTGGATACCATGGCAGTTTAAGTATATGGCACTTGCTAGCAGCTGGGTTTTCCTATTACGCTGTCTATTCTTTGTTATCTATATCATCTTCTTTGGGATTTGCTCATATCCTCAAAAATTGTCTTCTGTTGGCTTCCCACTTCCTTTTGTTGGTCCTGAGTTTGTCTCATTTATGAGCATGATTAGTGTCAGCTGTTGGTTTTACAAAGGATTTAGTGTTTCCTAGCATATACCTGGATTTGCCTGAGGTTGTATTGCAAATATGCACCTCTTGTGAGGAAAGGAATGAGATAATGAATGGACCTTCTTCATTTTATGTTTTCAACTTTATCTATAGCTAGATAGATATGGGTATGTAAATAAATATGAATAGGTACATAAATATACATATATATGAAACAATATAACAGAAACTGACAATGGTGACTGACTTTGGGGAGAAAGCATGATAAGTGCTCTTTTTATACCCAATAAGCTGATTGTGGAATTGACAAACTGTATTTCCAGTATTGCAGATGCTGTACTTGAGGAAAGGAGAAATGACCTAGTTTGAGATATATAAACTGTATCGTTCTAAGGAAAACAGAAAAAGTCAAATTTCTAATCAGTTAGGGGAAAGTTAGGTAATTTAATAAATGATATTAGAACTTGGCTAATCTTAAAAAAATGTCTATTTCTACCTCACTCTTTTCACCAAAAAGAGGTTGTCGAATACAGAAATAGAATGGTCCTCAGGACCCCTGGCTCCTGGTATTCATAGCTTTGTGTAATCCCTCTGGAAGGATCAGTGACTCTCTTCTAACCACTGTAACGTGAAAAAGGTGAAATGTATGTGATCACATATGTGTAATTACATAATGGTGTAAGGTCTTGCTAGAGTCTCTCTCTCTCTCTCTCTCTCTCTCTCTCTCTCTCTCTCTCTGGATTTGATGAAGGAGGATGCCATGAATCCTATAGCATTAGGAAGTGAATTTGGACAACAGTCTGACAGAGCTTGGAAGTGGATCTTTCCCCAATTGAACTTCTGATGAGACACAATTCTAGCAAAATCTTGATCAGAGTGTATACAATTCTAAGCAAAGGCCCCGGTTAAATAATGCCCAACTCCTGATCTGCAGAAACTGTGAGATAA